CTTGTACTGTGCAGAGTACAAAAATAGGGAGCGAATCAACCAGAGCGAGAATGGGTGCAGTAAGATAGTAACCAAAACAAATTGTGTCAACAGAAGTACAGTCAGTACAACAAGTAGACCTTTTGGAGGTTAACACAACGGTAAACTTCAGTGTCGCAAAATACGGAAAGTGCTTAGTTTCCGGTACACTAACAAGTCATCACGATGAATAGGGATGTGGTGATATGTGTGCAAACATAGTACGTTCAATAAGATGAGAAAAAATAACATAAATGTGTGTAATGGGGTACCTATTAGCAATGATGACTGTGCCCCATGCTGAGGCTGATGTTGCGTTCATGATGCTTCTTCACCGCAGTTGGGCTAAACCAACTTACACTTAAACTAGGTCATTTTAATATGGATAAAATTCATTACGTTTTATTTGGTTTGTTCTGCGTACTTGATAATCTTCTCCCAACTTACACTCGTCGCTCATGCAAATTGTGGTAAACTTGCGTAGTTCTATCGCGTGGTATTTTTTAAATAACTTTCGGACATTTTTTACTTATCGCGTATTCACGTTTGACGAGTTTCTTCCATATGCTCATTTTACGATTATTTATGTCGTCACGTGCGTCTACTTTATTCGATATCGACATTTTGAATGATTGACTCTTGCTTGATATTCCCGGTGTGGCTGCGCTTGATGTGCATGTTGACAAGGTGCTTACCTGTCTATTACCGACTACCTCGTCCATCTGGCTCCAGGAGACAGTTGGTCGTTGCTGGAGGGGACAGGATGCACAGTCCTTGTGGTCGTGCTAGGCTCAAAGAGCGGTTCCATGCACTCAGTGTGGAGCAGCCTACGGTCCGGCCACCGCCTTGTGTGCGCTTGATTCACCAAATACAGTATGCTTGTGTTTGCCTGTGAACGAGTGTGGGCCGGCTCCGTTGATGAAACGTGGTTCCCATCCGCATGCCTCCCGGTCTTATTCCCTCGGGTTTACACTGGATATGGGGTATGTGGTTGGAGCTGTGGGTGGTGCAAAGCAAGCCACCCATGGTCCCTCTGCAAGCGCAGGCGTCCTGTGATTTGCCACAGTGACAGGCAAATCAGAAACCGGATGTCGCCAACCATTAGTAATGATGATGCGGTTAAGTGCTCTGTAGTCGTCGCAGGGTCTGCAATCGGATACTGCCTTCTTTGCTATCATAAGCAACGGTGATGCCCAGATGCATTGAGATGGTTGAATTATTCCTAAATGCAGCATGTGTTGAAATTCATCCGTGGCTATTTTCAGGATTTCGGGTTGCATTCCTCACGGACGGAAAAAAACTGGGGTACCACTGGTGTTAATGTGTGACATACAGAATACCTGGTATTCGTTTGATGAAAGTTTGTTTTAATAAAGATGGAAACCTATGGAAAAGCTTGTAGTACGGAGACGTGTTTTGTGGCCAAAGGGTTATGTGGCAGTTAGATGTTGTACACATTGTGTTACCAGAAACAGAATCTGCGTGTTGATATTTAGCAAACGCTGGCTTCGTAGATCCACTAACAAGGTGAAATGCGTCAGGAAATCCGTTCCTAAGTTTGGTTTAGGTACGTCTGCGATAAAGAATCTCCAATTGAATTGTCGCCGTAAACGAAGGCTGAGTGTTAACATTCGTTGACCGTAACTTTTAATACTGGTCCCATTAGCTGCTGTTAATCACATCGAGGATGGGTGCGGTTGACAAAAGTGCGGATTGGAGGTATTACGCTAATGTCAGCACCAGTATCGACAAAAAGACGGAACTCGGTGGTTTGATCTAGGACCGTCAGTCGGCAAGAGTTGGATGGCTGTTGGCCAAAGACGATGCTCGCCTATACCATCTGGCCTGTTCGTTTTCTGCTTGCGGAAACTGGCGGCTGCTTTTGACGGGGAGAGCAGGGTTGGGTGCATTTACGAGCTAAATGCCCGAAGCGAATACGGTACCAACAAGTGGTTGTAGTACGCGATGAAGATGGGCTTCCTGCTCTGGTAGATGAACGAGCACTAGAAGAACGATGTTGTGTTGGTTGATTTAACCGAAGTTCAGCTATCTGTCTAGCCAAATCTTCTAGACGGTCGTTAATCGATTTTGGTAGACTGTAGATTTCAAAGGCGTGGATGTCATTTGTGATAAGCTGGATTTCTAAAATCTTGTCAGCGATATAATCGAGTAGCGTCAGGGAACACTGCCGGTATTGCTGGCTAGGATAACCTGTAGCAGCATAGGTAGACACTTCAGCAATAGCTGCTAAGTAACGCGTCATCCACTTTGCGATCGCCTAATACACTGTGAAGACGCCTTAGGAACTGGGAAGGAGTGCGTTCCTCAAGTGCTTCGCTGCTAATAAGGTGTTTGTGACGTTTCTGCTCAGAAACGGCGATTGGTTGGAGGACTGCAGGTTTAAGCTGCGACTAATGCTTAGCATCACCCGGTGACGACAAAATATGTCGTAGGTCAGCAACAATCTAGTGGCACTAAGGGCTAACATCTGATAGAACATCGGTTCTTCGTGTGTGGTATTGTGAAGTGTATGGACTGTGCATGAACCTGGGTGAAACAAATCTGTGTGTCATGGTGACAAAAGGATGGGTGTTTTACAGAAACTAGGTTAAGGTTAGGTAGTGAAGGCGCGTACGAAAGCAGCCAGATGTGATGGAGCAGCCACAGTGGTTTAAGCGGAAATAAACGGATAACAGTCAGGATAGTACAAGTCGAGGTCTCCACTTATTTGTGCTGCATAAATCATGAATAGCTAAAATAGCAGAAGGTTGGGAACTAATAAAATAACGATATTGCGCACGAAATAATGATGTATACAAGCGAGACTTATCTCATGTGCTTGCATGATGGCTGCGTCAAATTGCGGTTGCGGTGCGCTGTGACAGGATGCATCGGGCATTCAACACGTCGACGAAAGCGCACACGTCGGTTGTTTGGTCATTCCAGTGATGCAATGTTGTTGCGTTTTGATGCGATAGGTTTAGCAGAGTGAATGCGAGCTAAAGGGCATCCCCAATTGTCTACGTTTGACACGTGCTTCGACGCGGGCTTGGTACCAGGCAGAGGTCAAAACGCCGTTTTGACGTGGCGTTATATCACGTGCTATCTATCACGTGGCGCTTGATTAAGCTTTGCTATGCGGGTTAAATGAAAAGTGCAGTTCCACCAACATGCGTTTTGCGAGTGGAAAACGGACCTAAAAGATCATCTTAAACGAGCTTGTGTGTTTGAATTTCTTTTCATGACTTTACACTGTTTCGTTGTAATTCTTTTGTCTGTTTCCAGTTTGACTATACCTTGTGATCCCCCTGTTCTACACTGTGCCATTTAATAATAATGAACACCTATATGCCTTATTGAATAGTGGGTAAAATTATGGTAATTACTATCCCAGCAGTTAGACACTTCTGCTACGTTCGGTTCATATGCTTCCCAAATTAGATTGCCCAGAATGCTACTGCTGTACTTGTTGAGAGGGTGTGGGCCTGCTCCATTGATGAAACATGTCTCCCATCCACTTGCCTTCCGGTCTTATTCCTTCGTGCTTGCACTCGTTATGAAGTGTATGTAGCTGTGGGTGTTGCAGCGCAAACCACCCATAGTCGCTTTGTAGATGCAGGTTTCAAATGTTTGTCCTATGGAGGCCACAGTGACAGTCAAATCCGGACACGGGTGCCGCTAACCAGTTAGATATGATCGCGATTCAAGCCGCACTTCGTTTTGCACAACCAGCTGCCTAATGACTTACTGAGAACAAATATTCTCCGTAGACCAGTGGCATAAATATTTGTGCAAATGGATACACATCAACGGACACTCAATCAAGCTTTTACCATGTGTTCCGATGTGTATATATGGTCAAATTCCCATCCGACGTCCAGCGACAAGACGACTGTTTGTACTGTAGAGAATGAAGGTGATCATCGAAGCGGATGCGAAAAGACAACTGACAGTTGAAGTAGCCAATAACGCCCACGTTTTGGATGTGAAGCAGCAAATCGCGGCAGCTTGGAACGTGCCAGTGGAGAAACAGCTATTAATTGTACAAGGAGACATATTGATACCCGATGGGGATACATTGACTCAATATGGCATTACCGATGGCTCGCGATTAAGGTATGACCAGATGCCGTGAACAAAGTCCATAATCGATGTAAATCCCGTTTGTGTTGAACTAGTTTTTCTCTTGAATACATAGACCGCCACCACCTTATTTGCTTTGATATGAATGGATTTTTGTTGTAATCCATGTCTATCAAGGCATAGCAATGCATTTATACTTAACGTACCAACTCATTTCGGCCAATTTTCTCAGTGTGGATGCTCCAGATGCCTTCGGTGGCCCGGATAATCGCAAGCTTCACTGTAGAATTAGGCGAGACGAACTTCGGTGTCCAGTGAGCAGACTTGTTAGTGGCACACTTCCAGTTGTCAAAGACGAGGTCCCGAGGCTCATTGGCTGAACTCACCCAGGCCAAATACTACTGATCACAACGCCAACTTATTTTTGGGTTCCGTACTAAGTTTTATAGATTGCTATTGACATCACCTTATCGTTACTTTGTGGTAAGGAGTAAGCTCATGATATAAAAATCAGGAGTCGCAAGGAGTTCAAAAATGGTACCTGATGGATATTATCCCGTCCCATGTGGGAATGACTAACGTGATCTAACTTTATCACTAGCCAATTGGTTTCTATGTGCTCGGATAGCAACTTTCGTAGTGATTCGGTACTATGACCGTATGGTTTAGGTCCAGACACCATACACGGCTTTGTTGGTCTTTCAACGGCTCGACGCTTTCATCTTTTAGTAAATGCTTAAACTTCAATTATAATCCTCTATTAGAACGCAGCACTCACGCCTGGTAATCAAGGCAGAAACCGCACCAACATTCGGGATTTCAAACTAATTATGACCAGGGGAATGGCGACTAGTTCCATCACCAATGCTAGTCCGGATTAAAATTCCCAAACAACGTACGGAGTTTGTGTAGTGATCTCACACTCCTGTAACATACCATGCGTGATGGTCACTTACGTTTGCAACACACACACAGATCAAGGAAGAGAAAAGGAGGCTCGGAGTCTATTTTATCGAGCTAGTTGTAACGCTTGGCTTGGTGGTCAGCCCTCAGCAGTACGCCGGTCCACCGTAACAACGCTTCGCCGCCACGCCACCACCAACAGTCGCGCGTAGGTCAATGATACTCCGAAGGTCGCCCTGGCCCCCTAGGTAGGCTCGACCCCGCGTACTCCGGATGACAATACAAGCGTGTGATCCTTTGGTCATGGGTCGGCGGTCAGTGGTATATTACGGATAAAATCTCCGGAACCTGTGATATCTGCAGAATACTGAATGAGCGATCACAAAAAGGAAAGCAGAAGAGTTATAAGCAGGGAATCCTAGAAAGCAGTGAACTTGCTATTCAAACATTTTCCAGTCGGAATCTTTAACACATGGTTTTATGCAAGTTTAAAGGTCAGGAAATTTGGTTCTTCCAGTACAACGGGTGTGGGTTGATTTGGTTTGATTAATTATGCACTTGGTTTATGTATGTTATGTGGTATACTGCGGCGGCCAGCGCGTTTTCGATCAACCTTTCAACACAGCCAAGGTATGGGTTAAAATAACAGTTCCCGATAGGGAATTCCATGTTTGGCAAATGCGCAGCGAGAATAACTTCCGTCTAAATTCCATCCGAGTGTATTGTTATGCGAGTTTGAGACGGTGACCTCGCAGTCTGCTGTGGTGGTTGAGCATTAACAAATGATAGAACGAGTGATCAGTGTTGCTTAAAATCTGTGTAACCATTATAAACTTACCACTCGAACGCTGATAGCGTCCACTGAAATCTCGCAGAATGCCCAATGGCTATTTGTATAGTGAGTGTTTTAGCCCAGACAGTGTGTAAAGTTTAGGTTTGTTATGGTTATAGTATTCTGTTCCAGTCTCGTACAATTTATTTGGTCTAGGATCGCCTCCATAATACTGACCCCATGCTTACTTGTATGGATTCATTTTATTTTATTTCTTGTGGATTTTTGTGAGAGGTGTAATGTTCGTAGAAAGTAGAAGTCACGGTTAAACTGCGCACAATATTCTGCCTCGACGGGGAATCGAACCCCAGTCCAACGAATTACCGGTCCGCTGCTCTACCACTGCGGTTGTCATCGACTAACGAGATGCCGTAGACTGCACATATTCTCCAGCTGTGTAAACGATATGTTTCTTTGTGTGAAGCCGCAGATGAGTATACGATGCCTTAAACTAGACTGCATCAATTGCTACTTCATAGTAAGGTTTGAGACTTCTTGGGATTCGCTTGACATTATCCACTAAATGATTCTATAAGATGGATGCGATGGAGCAGGGCATAAACATACCCAGAAAGCATCGAATTGGTCTTGTCGAATGCATCACCGTGCGTCAGCAGGATGACTATTGCCAACATCAAGCTTAATTGGTTACAGTCCAGTTACCCCCAAGCAACACACCGCATTCGTTTGAGCGGGGATCACAAGACGCTCATCAGTTCACAACCTTGGACTGTGGCAATCGCCAAGCGAGACGCTTTGTCGCTTCATAAAAGCCATACAGTGACCTGAATGGATTCATCCACTAGTTGCCATTCAAAAAGGTGGCCCTATTCGTGTGTGCACCGACTTTTGAGCGCCTAATCGACATATACTTGTGGACAACTTCCCTCCTCCTTCTGCCGACAACTTTATGGTTAGGCTTTCAAACGCCAAACTGTTCTCAAAGTTGCATATTATCACATGCCACGGACTCCAGGTTGTCGACATTCGACTGCTTTCCTGTAACATGTAGCATATTCTAGTGTTCGGTCGCTGTCAGGCTCCGATCGTTAGTCTTAGTTATTGTTACGAACACAAAAATGATTGAGACTAGAAACATCTCGTCGTGGCAGTCATCAGGATCAATTCGATCACCCACTTAATGTTTCTCGTTACCAGTCCAGTTACTTTAAGAACCAATTCTAATGGGTGAGAGCACACCATGCTTTGTGTCTAAAGCAGCTGTGACGTATCACTTAAATACCTGTTATAAGCAAGGTTTTATGGGCTCGTAAGTTACCTTCAGCCAGACGTGAGGGCTCTCCCCACCGAATACCTGTGCTACTAACAACAGTTCTGCATCTTCGGTTTGTTCTCGACTACTCATTAGTAGTGAGATTCTACCTCCTATTTTGATGAATGGATTGGGGTTGCAGGCCTCCAATTCCTACTATTAACACCTCGCTTAATAACTGTTTTCGAACCCTACTTGGACTGCTTTGGACGAAGCCTAACGTACGCGCCACGCTGAGAATGAGAGGCACTTCAAATGTAGCTCAGCTTTTGGATGACGGATCTTCGTTGCAAAGGTAATAACTTGTTCACATTCAGTTTGCTTACCCGAATCTGACTGTCTACCTTGCACTTAAAAGCGCTTAGTGTACTCCATAAGCCATTTGCATGGAAAGGAGACCGTTGCGTTCCACCTGGTCAGTAGTTATCTTTTGAGGATCAGTATAGGATCCGCATTGCGTGAGATCAGCAATGGGCTCAGGAGAATAGAGCAACGTGTGACAGAGGGAACTTAATGCACTAACTAGTGCAAAAGTAGCATTTGATAGAACTTATTGCTTGATCCATAATGCACTCAGAAGTTGGATATCACATGAGATTCACAGATCAAGGCAGATGATATATATGGGGTTTTACTCAGTTCATACTAAAATACTGTTTTGCAGTGGATAAATCGGAACAATAGATATGTCACAGTTAAAAAGTAATTGGCTTGACAATTTTCGTAGGTAACATCTGAGTGTAAACATGGATGTAACAAGAAAATATAACGTGCAGCAGTTGACTTACCGCAAATTCTACGTGTACATATGGTTGGGTTACTTCGTTTCATGCTTCCGATAATTGGGTCAACTCAGCTAATGCTAGTGTGCAAGAGGACCATGGGTGTTTAAAGCAGCCTGAAAAGGAACCAAAGCAAGCAAACCAGCAGTTCGGCCTTCTTCATAAAGCGTTCGGTAAGTTTGAGGCCTTACACTTTCCGAAAATGCTTGGGGCGTATGTGAGGCAGCACATGGAATACACTATTCAAGCGTGGCAATCTTGTCAGAAGCACCACCTCACCACGCTCGATACCGCACAACGCAGGGCGACAATGGACCTTAGAGGTTTGTCCCGCCTTCCCTACGCACTCAGACTGAAAACCCTCAAAATATACAGCGGACGTTACCAGCGTCTAAGTGACGATCTCATAGTGGTGTATCAGATCCTGATAAACTCCAACCACACATGATATTCTCCTTTGAAACTCAATCACTACATACACACACATTAGGTGACCAGCTTAAGCTGGTCAGGCAATATAGCCGACTGGAATGTCGACGCAACTTCTTCTTCCCCCGAATGTCACATCCCGGAGAACATCCTCCCCGAACAGGTAATTAATGCTCCTACTTTATCCCATTTCAAAACGCCTTGACGATACTCTGACACACTTACACTACGTGATATATCCTGTGCTACTCCAAACCCCTTGGTGAATCATCTACTTCACATGTTTTTTTGCTGCTACGGTTTCTTATTCCCATTTTTACCCTTATCATGCTATGGGACATGTCAACTATTCGCTGTAATACCCGTCATAAACCATTGCTCCATAGTTTGTATTTATGGTGGTGCCAGATGTAAAGCGCGTTCCCCACACACTGCGCTTCGAACGTAAACATTTGGAACACTTTGCCTGAACATGTGATGGAAGCCACATCTGTACAACAGTTCAAAAGATTGTTGTGTTTATATTTTACCACTATTCGATTCAGAGAACGATTTCACAATTACGATGACGTCTCACATTTGTGAATCGTGCAATACCGTGAGTCAGATAGTTTAAATGTTACATGCGAACGATAACGATCCTCAGGCCGCAAACTTTTACAACTTTTTCACTATCTTTCGAAGGAATTGTACAGAATTCATTCCTACTTGCTCTATAATACAGTATACTGTATTCAGTAAGTGGTGTAATGCAACATCAAATCGGGTCGTGAATTCCGCTAACGTAGGAATGAATATGACCGAATGCAGAAGTTGGTTCCACGACTGTGATACAAGAATGGAGAAAGGGTTCCTGTTTCTTCCCGCCTGGCTGTACTGGGCGGCTACCTTCAAACGGCCGCCTTTCAGGGAGATGTTGTAGCTCTTTCAATAAGGTTCGGGTATGTGTGGTTTGGATCTTTGTCGGTTTGATACACCAACATATGATCACCTTGCAGACTACATTGTTTGCTTCAAGCTCCTATTGTCCAGTCTAAACTGGTAAGGGAGGTGGAGCAATCAGAT